GTCTCGTCCTTCGCAGCACACAGGTTGAATCGCCCCCGCGCCCACCCGGGGCCCCACTCCAGGCCTGAGAGCCCCTCCCGGGTTGGGGAGAAGTTATGAGGGACAAATGGGGGAGGTGATTGGGGTGGCTCCCCAGCGGCTCCCCACAGAGCTGCTTTTTTTTTTGAGAGAGAGAAAAAGCACTAATCAGATGGGAGGGAGAGACGGGGTGATGGGCAGCTGACAGCTTAGCTGGAGGAGGGACGTCCAGTATTGGGGTGGGGGGCGCTGGAGGCCACAGGGTGAATAAAATGGGCAGCTCCTCCCAGGACGGCCTGGCCGTGAACCCTGGGCCAATGGGGGCGAGTGGGCGGCTTGCCTCTTCCTTGTCTTCTCAGCTGAGAGGAAGCTGGGCATTAAAAATCTAGCTAAGAATAAAATGGAGGAATTGGGGGAGGGGGTGTTGCTGGGAGGGCGAGACCCTGAGGTGCTCCTCTTTGGCAGGGTGAGGGGCAGCTGCTTTGTCTGGCTCCCAAAGCCCCAGGGTGTTGGGGATGAAGAGAGTAGGGGCTTCTGGAAGGGGTTAAGACCTCTCCAAGTTTGGCAGGGGGCTCCCCCCTCCCCCCCAGGGGTGGTGGTGTCAGGGGGAGATGAGAAGCGGGAGGCAGAGGCTCTAACCCCCAGCTCTTCCTTTTACAAAATCGTTTGCTCCCCAGCCTTGATAAAATGTTGGGGGTTTTTTTTGCAGGGGAGGGTGGGGATTAGGGGGACAAGGTAAGGGGAAGGTGGGAGCAGGCACTGGTGGAAATTAAATAATATTTTAAATGGTTTTCTTAAAAATCCTACAAGCAGCCCACTGGACCTGTCACAAGGAATCTCTCCCATCCCGGGTCCAAGTACCAGGGGTGGGGGTAGGGGTGGGGGGTGGGGAGTAGATTGGGTTGGCTTGTCTGTTCACTTGCCCTTAGCTACTCGGTGCCTGCGGTTTTAGGGTGTGAGAGCTCCCGTTAAGCTTGAGTCCGTTTCTACACCCTGTCCCTGGATGGTACCAGCAAGAACCGGCCTGACCGGGGCTGAGAAATTCACTTGAAACAGGCAGAAGTGGGCTAGGGTAGGGGGGCCGTGGGGAGGAGGGAAGGATAAGCTGAAGAGTAAGTGGGCAGGAGGGCAAGGGGCTGAGGGGAAGCAGCTGGTGTTTCCATCCCTCCAAGAATCTGCCCTGCCTGCTCTGACCCTGGAGGGTGGGGTAGGGGGTGAAAGTAGATGCTATGAACTCTGGGGCCCTCTGGCTGTTCAATTCAACCCTCCCACCCCACCCCCCCAACAAAAAAAAAAAAAAAAAAAAAAGAAAACCCGTGGGGCATAGGCACACCCCTAAAAATCCGAAAACTCCTTGCCACACTTCTCATTGATGGAGACCCGGATCTCTTCTTCCTCATAGTCGTCAAAGTTACTTGTGTCTCCCGGGCCTTTAAACTTTGGTATGAAGGGAGCTTCCACCTGGAGGAGGATGAAGAACCATGCAGAACTCATTAGTCACCACAATCATAATTACAACCAACAATGTCAGCAGCCGAATTTCATAGTCTACTTACTCTAACTCGGGCCTGTGCCCATGTAGACATGCCCATGTAGACCTCCTAAGAGCCCAACTCGCCAATGGAGAAATACTGCTGAGACCTGGGAGTGTCTGCCCAAGGTCACAGAGGAAGCAAGTACACCCAGCATCCCATTTCTAGATGCCTCCCACCTTCCCGCTGGCACCAAACTGCCTCCTTGAGGCTCAAGTCTGAGCCTGCAGCCAATCTGTGATTCCTTGCCCCTCTGTCGGCTGACCTCCCTTGACTCGGCCTCCTGGGACACTTTCAGTTCACTGGGGGTTGGGTGTGGGATGCCCACCTTTCTCTGGTAGATAGCAATCCAGTCAGTCGTGGCAAACCACTTGTGGTTCTTAATGTCGTTGACTCCGTTCTTGAGGTTCCCAAAGCGCTTGGTGAGGTCCACCTGTAGGAGGTTCCGCAGCAGGTCCTTCAGGTCGGAGCTGAAGTGGGACGGGAATCGAACCTGGAAGGAGGTGGGGCAGGGTTCAAGCCAGTTAGGGGGTTCCTTTCTATTTTAGAGGGAGCTGGTCTGAAGTTCCGGGGAGCCCCAGTCACTGCCTGCTCCCAATAGCACTCTTATCTGGTAGAAGCCCCTCGGTGGACAGCCCTGGTAAAAGTGTCGGGCCGTCCTTGGAAGGCTGGTTCCGGAGACCTGGTTGGGGCCTGAGAATCTGGTTTCCGGCACATTCCTGGGTGATGCCAATCCTGCTGGAGACCACCCACTTTGAGAGCCAATGCTCTAAGGCCAGGGCTACGATGACACCCATTTTACAGAGGAAACCGGCTCAGGAGGGTTCAGCAGAAGAGTGGGAAATGGCAATCCCATCACAAGCCTGCTCTAAGCAGCCCTGCTGGGGCCAGGGGGCTTCTGAAATGTAAACACAAGGCCTTCCATTCTTTTCAGATACTTCCCCAGCACTCGATGCCTACAGCCTGACACCTGAGCACAGATGTCGCTGTGTGACCTTGGACCTCCCCTTTCACCTCTCTGGGCCTGTGTCTGCCTCTACAGCATGGGGCAGATAGCTCGGGCTTGCTGGGAGGCACGGGGGAGAGAGCACTGTTAAAATGCTACAAAGAAAGGAGTGATGAGTCCTATCTTTGGCCTTGGGACCTTCCAGGCCACCTCCCCCTTGGATCTTTTTCTTGGCCATTTCCATTCTGCCTTGTGGCAGACCCCTCATCTTTCCTTTCTAGTGACCGCCCTTCCCTTTGTGCCCAGCCCAGAACAGCCCCCTACTCCCCAGCCCCCCCAGCCCCGGCTGCTTTGTCTCTCAGATAGGGAAGACTGGGCTCTGAGCAACCTTCACAGGGTTTCCCAGCCAGGAGTGTGGCAGAGCTGGGACTGGAGGCCAAGCCTGCCGACCCAGGAGCTTCACACTGCTCCGTGCACTAGATGCTAGATGCTGTGTGTGTCAGGCGGACGTGAGCCAAGGGCAGACGGGGCTCCACACTTTGGGCCCTTGAGACCTACAATCTTGTCTCCACTTCCAGGCCCCGATGTGATCTCGGCAGCTAACCTCCATGTCCTCCTCGCTCCCACTGCACAGAGCAAGGGGCCGAAGACGTTCATCTGGTGCGCCTTAAGGCCGTTCCCAAACGCAGGCCCTGGTAGTCCCCCGCCCCTTACCCGAAACCTAGGGAAAGGCCCTGTGGGTTGTGAGGGAAGAAGACACACTCGCTTTCCGGCCGGAA